TCAAAACCATTCCGGAATATGTCTGAACTCATCCGAGCCTTGGGGGCTCCAAACCAAACATCAGCATAAGTCTAAAAACATCATATGAACTTGCTCGCGCAATCAAAATGCCGAAATAACATCTAGAATCACGAACCGGATGCCAAAACGCATGAAAATCACAATGAACTTCAAGAACTTCTAGAATTGCAACCAATTGTCCGAACCACATCAAATCAGCTCCAAATGATACCAAATTTTGCATACAAGTTTCAAATGACAAAACAGACCTATTCCAAGTCCCAAACCCAAAATACGAACTCGGTAGCCTTAAAGTCAAACCATGGTCAAACTTAGAAAAAATTTCAAACTTTCAAACATTCGAACTTAGACGAACGCATCCGATTCATACTTAAACATCCTGGAATGATGCCAAACTTTACGCACACGTCACAATTCACGATACGAATCTATTCCAATGCTCGGAACCCCAAACGGACATTGATAATACCAAAATTCACTTCAAAAACTTAAGAAATTTTTAAACTTCCAAAATGCCAACCTTCCATAATAAGCGTTGAAATGCTCCCAGACCAGTCGATACTCAACCCCAACATACGCCCAAGTCCGAAATCATCATACGAACCTATTGAAACCCTCAAATTCTGATTCCGAGGTTGTTTACTCAAAGTCATACCTTGGTCAACTCTTCCAACATAAAGCTTCAGAATTAGGAATTTTTCATCCGAATCAACTCAGAACTTCCCGAAATTTAATTTCGACCACACGTACAAGTCATGATACATGAAGTGAATCTACTCAAGGCCTCAAACCACCGAACGACGTACTAGAGCTCAAAACGACCGATCGGTCGTTACAGGAGGGAAGCATGGGTGCATGTATCCCACCCCCTCCACATAAATCCGTCCTTATGGGCCGAGTCGAATATTTTATCTGTTTTTATAATACTCATTTTATACTCATCCATATCCGACCCGACCTGTTCGTTTGTCATCCCTAATGATGACCAAGGCCACAACTAGACCCCCCATTATAATTTAGGGCAAACTTATGCGTAGTATTAATCAACCTTTTTAATAATGGATCTCCCCCAATATTCTATACATAGTGATTTATTCAGGAAGCAAGAAGAGAAGAAGAATACAGGGGCAGATCGGATGGTGTGAACACTTTAGAGCTCGTTTGGTACGAGGGATAAGGGATAATTAATTTAGGGATTAGATTTGAGATTATTTTATTTTATTTTTGATTACGATAAAATCATGGTATAACTAATCTCGGGATTAGTTATCTCGAGATTGTAGTATCTTTTTATCCTCATGAAAGGGTGGAATAACTAATCTCGAGATAATTAATCATGCATTAACTTGTTTCCCAACCAAACGACCTCTTAGATGTCTAAACATATATTTATGTTAAATCTTAGGAAACAACATTTTACATGTTATAAGGGGAATCTAAAACGCAGTGCACAGACATTTACACATGAACAATAGTTTACGATACAGATTGAACTGGGCTTCTATATTTGTCTGACAATGATTGAAGGACCCCCTCCCTGGATTAGCAAATCGTACCATAATAAGGACGTCCGGATGTAGCGATGTGATACTTTCTATAACTTTTATTAAGTTTTTCCTATTTTATCACAAGAAAAATTCTACAATTGTTAGTTCCACAACCTTTTTGAAACAATACAAACAGCACAAGGCCCTAGCGTGATATTTATGATTAGTCGGTACCAATTCCCAATATATAAAGTTCCTCTTTATTTTAATTTGTTGATAAAAAGATGAGAACTATAAAAATTACTGAGAGAATTAAAAGAATTGCTTCAACGATTACGAATATAAATTAGGGACCTCGATTTTAGTCTACAAATTAATCGTGTATGTGTGTGTATCAATTTGCTTCTATTAATTTACTTGTGGAATTAGCATATAGGTATACGCGAGACAAAGAGAAACTAAAGTAGGATTGCTCTAACCAGCGGCGGAGCCACAAGGGATATCAATCGACACCCGTCGCCGGAAAATTATATTGCTAGATATTTATTTATTTTTATGTATATTTACTGTACGTTGACTCTCTTTAACTTTTTGGTATATCTAATTTTTTATATTCTGGTGTGAAAATTCTGGTTTCACCACTGACTCTAACAATGCTATAATACTTATACAACAAACACCTTGTCTCTAAACAATCATTTTTCCCTAAAAGAAAAGATATTTTGAATGAATTGTTTCTCAATGTCTAATTGTCCAAAAGGAGAGATCATGCTTACTTATATTTTTAAGATACTTCATTTTTCTGAAGTTTTAAATCATTTCCACTTTATGAGCTGCTGCTTAAACGTGGCGAGATTTTCTCTTAATCTTATAGGATGAAATGATGATTGTTTCTAGAGCTTACGTTATACTTTTAAAACGATACTGAATTTAACTCTTACACTTAGTGGTCGTATTTTTGTCGTTCGGATAAAGGGATAAGCATAATAATTCAAAGATAAAATATGAGAATAGTTTATTCTATATTTGGTTAAAGTTTTTATTTGCGACGTGAGTAATCTCAAAACTACTTATACTAAAATTATGGTACTAATTTTATATGACACAATGTCAGATATAATCTCAGAATTAATACTACCTTTAAAGTGAGATAACAATATCTAATTAGCTAATCCCAAAATAAAACAATCAGACGACAAAAAATATCCTTCTCCAAAGCTTTTCTCTCAGGCCGTTTAAGAAGCATGGCGTTAAAATTGAAAAGAAAAAAATATCTAATTTATTTAATGTAAATTCAAACACATATTCTGTATTTATCCTGTATATTCTATTTTAAATCTAATTAACCAAATATCTAAAAAGAGTATTTACTAAACAATTCTATTATTGTTTAATCTTGTAATCCCCACATTATGATTAAAATGATTGCAAATCAAACAACCGGTGTCTTTCGAATCAGGTTAATGGCAATAGTATTCCATAAAAGTATGGTCTAATTGTTTGCTAAACAAGATATTGTGCTGGTGAAATAGGGGGAATTGTTAGGCAATTTTATGGCATGTGATAACTTGGTTTACGTCTTATCACATGTTGGTATTATCTTAATTGAACTTAAAATAGTTTTCTATTTTTGTTTTATTAAACGGACTAAAAAAGTATGATTGTTAGGCTTGACAATTGACCCTTAATTTTAACAATTCCTCATTGGTTTTAAAAGCACTTTGGTTAATGTGCGTTAGTGCACATCGTTCCATAATTATGTAAAAGCTAGACCATATTTCTACTTCTCTCTTTTGATAAAGACCCAATTGCATTTGTAATCTCAAGCCTGCCATTTTGCATCGTTCGAGTGCCAACTTTAACCCTCCTTTACTAAAGTGTACGTGTAACTGTGATATGCAAAAATCCCAAACCACAAGAAATGGAGTATATAGCAGAAAGTATGAACAATGTACTAATTTCATCAGTTTAATAATATTATCGTCCTTTATTATTTTTTAAAAGATAGAAACGCCAAAGTTATGGTTAGGCATTAATGCAAGAGTAAAAGAGCCACAAAAAAAAAGAATATTGAGTAAAGAGCTTCTTCTTTTGGTAACTATGCCATGATTTAAGAAATATACCAATAGTCAATAGAGTTCGTATTAATATATGTACTTTAATTTACGGTGTAAAATATTATTCTTACTCCAAATTACTAATTTCACTCTTTAGGTACGCTTAGAGGTGGAGCCATGATTTAAACATTATAAACAGGGCAGCCCGGTTTCTGCTATACGCGGGGGTCCGGGGAGAACGAACCACAAGGGTCTATTGTACGCTGTTTTACCCTGCAATCCTGCAAGAAGTTGTTTTTACGGATTTCAACATTATAATTTCTGAATTTTTAACCGACAAATTCAAGTGTTAATAATCGAGTTCTAAATTTAATATTTATACACATTTAATGAATTTTCTAACATGAATACACTGCTTGAGTAGAAATTACTGGGTTCGGCTAAAAACAGCATGTGGGCTTCTAGCTACGCCTCTGAATTACATCGGTTAATATTAGATGATATGATAATATAAAAATAAATTTACACCTTATAGGAGTACAAGTTAAACTCATATGCGAAAAAATTGGATGAATAAAGAAAAAACTTAAAGCCAAGAGTCATGTTTGTAATATCACATCTCACTTAAAAAGTTTAAGCAAACAATTTTATTTAATTAATATTTATAGAGGGCTGGAGCGGGGATATGTATTTTAGGTTTACTACTGAGGACGTGGATGAGATGTATAAATTAGGGTTTCCTTAATAGTGTAATTTAAATGAATACTGAGGCGCTCTAGTACAAAGAAGAAACAGTAATGAAAACTGTCGGGTATCGTAGGGACGACAGACAAAAGTACGAGTACCCATCCACAATTTATTCACAGAGTCCAAACATAAAAAGCTCACGGCGTTAAGCATACTTCGATTTGAAGCTACTGACCTTTTAACCCTCCCCACAACTTCGTCAACTAGTTTATATTTGGAACCTAAATAACTCATATCTTCTTCTGTTTGTCCATAAATGTTTGCCTTTGTTCTTCACTCTTAATAATTGTTTGCAATTTCCATCACTTTTCCATCTCTTAAAAGTGGATGAGGGCTACGTTAGTACGTTTACACACTGTTTAGGGATTACTGAGATGTTGATATGAATAGAGAAAGTTGTTCTTTAAAAGGGAGATTTTCTTTTATGAGTAGAAGATGGAAAAGTAGAAACAAATTAAAACGAGCAGAAGAAGTAAGAGTATTCAGTCTCAGCCCAAGATTTAAGAAACTCTTTCTTCTTCTCCTTTAATTCTCTACAGTATTTTTTAGAGTAATAGTGCCAGAAACAAAAGGGCTCCCCCATCAAGCTTGTGAAAGGTCAAATGCTGTAGCATTTAGCTTGCTTATAATTGCAGTTTTTTTAGTTCTTCAAGATTTTATAAGTTCAAAAAAAAAAAAAAAAAAAAAGATGTTCCCTTCTGGAAACAGTAGTGGGAACCCTATTCTCCGGTGTTCAATACCATCTTTTTGCAGCTCTAATTCTTCCTTTCTTGGCATTAATGGCAACCAAATACTCCTTCATCAACACCAAGATCAACTCTCTACTCATTACTTAGCCGCTAATAATGGTCACTTAATCGACAACAACAGCTCGGTGATGTTTGCAAACAATGTCATCCACAACAAGTCAAATAATCAGGAAATTTGCTATCCTTTAAATACGATGATGAAGAAACCTATGAAAAAAGATAGACACAGTAAAATTTTGACATCACAAGGTCATAGGGATCGGAGGGTGAGATTGTCCATTGGGGTTGCTCGTAAGTTCTTTGATCTACAAGATATGCTTGGTTTTGACAAACCAAGTAAAACCCTTGATTGGCTATTCACAAAGTCCAAATTAGCCATTGAAGAGCTGACTACTGCTCAGATCAAAATCACCAGCCCTAATGAGTCGTCAGCAGCAAAGAAAAGTCCTTCATCTATTAATTCAGAATGTGAGGACGTTGTTCTTGCAAGAGCAAAACAAGAGGAGGCTATACTTAATTTGGTTGCGAGAGAGTCAAGGGCAAAGGCTAGAGCAAGAGCTAGGGAAAGAACAATCAAGAAAATCTGGGCCCAAATTGAAGCCAAACTTAACTCATCATCAGTAGTAAAGGAGCAGACTAAGATTGATGAAATTAAAGAAATGATTCACGGATCTGTACTTGTGGAAAGGAAGAATATCAAGTCTTCTTCCTCAACTTTGGGTTTTCATCACCCGAATCTCAGTGGTACTGAAGAGGCTGCAGCTAATTCGAACTACAATAGCTCCTCTTCTAGTACCCGAAATTGGGATCATGATGTTAATCGAACAATATTGAACTCCAGCTTAACTGCAGTTATGGCTACAATAAGTACCTCATCGCAAGGTAAACTTCTAATTCCAAAAGTGGAGTAGTACAATTTAGTCATTTAATTACTTCCACAATTCTCAATCCAATATATATTTATGTCTTCTCTTCAATTTCCAGTCGTTCAAGGTAGCGATCAGAAAGAATGGGACTCATATCACTGCAGCCAAATCTAAAGGTCGGGGGACAGCGTAAGCTAAGTAAAATTTCGTTTCCTGTTTATTAATTTCTAGGTTTAGTACTACTATAGAGGTGCCTTCTGTTTTAGTTTTCGCAAATCCCTCTCTGAGCCACTGGTAATGGATGTTATGGTTTGATTTGGTGCTTAATTTTGTTTTTGTAAGTCTACTAAATATGTATCAACCGGTGCACTAAAAGTTTAGGAGTTTTTGGTGTAGTACTGTATTACAAGTAAATTAAGAATAAGTGAAGTTAAAAAAAGCAACCAGATGATCTCAGAATCTTGGCACTGCTCTACATACCTTAAATTCCGAGAAATTGAACTGAAATCAATGTCCAAGTCTAATTTCCTTTCAAACTGAATAATTAATGTTTGGGATGGGCTTTCTATGGTGAGTTTTCTAATTCATACACATCATTTGTATTTTCTCTATTCCAAAACATATGGGGCTATATTATGTCCTACTTTAGCTTGATAAAAATTAATTAATTAAGCCGGAGGACCAATAATTTTTAACTTGACACTAACAAAAGAAGGATTTGAAAATTAAATGAGATAACGACCCATTTAAATTAAGTGCCAAAACCAGAGAAACACTGAAGTACTTTACATTAACAAAGGAAAATTTTCAGATCAACACAAAACTTACCCCTGCAACGGATTCCGGATTGACTTCCTCCTTGCACAGTGTAGCCCTTAGTATCAGCACTGGATTTGACATGATCATACTAAACCTAGCTACTGTAATTCATAGTTTTAAAACAAATAATTAGCTAAAAGTGTTACTCCTAAAAAAGAAACGTTGTTTGTATACATCTAACGTGGATAGCCTCTTTGTCTGCTCAAAGCCACAATTTGTCATCTATATATTTTTTTTAAGGAACATGCAAGCACACTATTGTGTTGTGATTGACCAAGCTACTTGGTTTATTGGGTAAGCATTCTTAAGTAATTGCATAAGTTTTAATTCCTTTTTTTGTCTTTTTTCCTTCCTGCTTTCCGTGACTATAGATAGGGTTGATCTAATTCTATGTCCTGCATTGTAACTTGTAAGCTCAGTTCCTACGAATCTCTAAGCAAACAATTATACTAAAAGGATATATGGATGTGATCCATTGGCTACCTTCATTTAAATTTTTTAAGGGATATTGCAACAAGGGCTGGGTTATATTCATGAGTACACAAGTTGGTGACCTTAAATTCTTGCCATGTACTGTGTTTTATATGTATTTATGTACTCTAATCAGATGCAAAGGACTTACAATATGTGGCAATCAAGTGGTTTCTGTGGGGAAAATGTTAATGTCTTCTTCTGCTTTTAGTGAATGTTTTATACTAAATGCCTCAGGCGCATTTAACTTGGCTATTAAAATTTTCAGTGTTCTATGTTGCAGTAGAATATAATTAGATAGCTGTAAGAATTTAGAACTCTGCACCAGACTAGAAACAAAAAATGATTTAGGTTCAAGGTCTGTTGACACTTTTCACTCTATATTTTGTATCCATATATCTTCTGAAGCCAAAATTTATGTTGTCTACTTATTTATAACAGCATACAATCGGATCCCCTCTCCAAGTTGAACCTTTACAAAACGTCTATAATTTATGTAGAAGTTACTTTGTGTTAGAGTACTAGCTATGACAGGTAGAGGTTAGTGTCTAACCCCACCAGAGTGGTGGATTATGATTTAAAAAAAAATAGTTTATGACTTATGACTTCACCAAGATTTTGTAGTCAAAATGGTTAGTCGATCCACCCTAATAACTTAATTTGATACTATTGGCTCTCACTTTTATTTTATACCATGCAACTTTTTCTACTATTTTTCCTACAAGGAGTTAAAGATTACTCCTACTTGGGAGAATTATTGTTCTTAGAAGTTAAAACTGACATGAAAAATATTATCCTTACCAATAACAAGTCCTATCGGACTCGCCATTTCCCAGAATTGGTCCAGTACACATCCTAGTTACTATATACTGACTAATAATCCTATACACATCTTCTTGTTTTCCTAGTTATTTTTCTTAAAAGTACTTTTCAAAAAAGTGCTTTTGGTGAGAAGTAGTTTGTGTTTGACTAATTAATTTGAAAAATACTTTTGAGCAGTAATTAGTGTTTGGCCAAACTTTTAAAAATTGCTTCTAAGTGTATTTTTCTCAAAAGTGCTTTTGAAAAGAATTTTTTTTTTCTTCTTAAAAACTGCTTGGCCAAAAAAGGTACTTTTGGCCAAAAAAAAAAGCTTGGCCAACCAGTCTATAATAATCCTATCTAAAAATCATGCATGTAATGCTTATGTCATGTTTATGATCATCAAGAGATTCCACTTTGATAATAAGACAGACCGTAGGGTAAATTCATGTCTTCTTATTCGAAGTTCCAAGTACTTTTGCTTAAGTTCAAAAAGTTCTGGAGGAGAGGGGAAAAAAACAATGCAAGGGTGAAGGGCCTAAAAGCACAAATGAGCTAGCCTGCTAAAAGATGATGGAACCTGCTAAAAGATGACAAATCAATTCTAAGTTACCAATAATGCTATTAAATGAATTTACCTGCAATGACCTAATTGTATAAGTATGTTTTCCCGTATCAGTTTATAGAACTTAAGCTCTTTTCACTATACTATTATCAAAAGGATTTGTTATTGACAGTGTACAATATTTTTTACACTATCAATAAATCTTAACCTATGATAGAAGTTTGTTATTATTTTTATCAAATTATCAATTAATGTTTATCAAAAGATTTATATATAATTACTTAATAAGTGACGTAATTATATAAATAAATCTTATATCGTCGGTATATAGAACTTATATTCTTTAGGATTTAGCTTCAATACACGGACAGTGTAATAAAATTTGTTCCAACAAGTCTTCATAACAGTAATCAAAGATAACATTTTATAATAAGTGAAATTAGTACAGTCAAACCTCTCTATAAGAATCTCGTTTGTTCCGAATATATTTGGATGAATAGTGAAGTGCTGTTATAGAGAACATATATTATAACATAATATAACAATTGGTTCCGAAAAAAACTTGGCTTTTATAGTGAAGTGTTGTTATATAGGGATGTTATCGAGAAGTCTGACTGTAACATGAAAGATGAGACAAAAAATCCTAGTATTTTCTAGATTACTAATTTTCCCTTACTATAGAAGATTACATGTACAGTCAACCTTTTCTATAACAGCCTCGTTGTTCCGATATTTTTTGGATTTTATAGATTAACAGCATTTGATGTATAAATATTATTTGGCTCTTATAGATAAAAATTATCCAAAAATTAATTATTTTTCCTTTTTTAATGTTACATATAAAAGATAAAAAAATTATTCAAATTTAAAAACTCAAAAAATATGCATATTTCACAAGCTAAATATTGAAGAAAGCAAATACATTATTGATAAATCCATAACTAAACGTATAAAGATTTAAACTCTAAGGCTGACATTTTAAAGCTGCCTAAAAAAATAAATTATTTCAAGATTGATGTAAGAACTTTGTAATTGTAGCTTGTTTCGTAGATTTCATTCTCTTACTAGAGATATAATGCTTGAATTGGCGAAGATTCGTATCCAAATTTAAGCAAAAAGGTATCCAATAGTTTTTCCTCGAAGATAATCTAAGAGCTTAACAATTAAATTTTCTATCTATAAATATTTTTGAAATTTTTCCAATGGAAAAGATATCATGTGCAAATCTTCAAATCTTATATCTTATAGTACAAAATAGAAAATTTATTTAATGAAAAAGATTGTGTGCATATTTTTAGAATTATTAATAATAATCTTAAAGATTTTATATGGCTGTTATCGAGGAGTAATTTTATAAAGAGCGTTCTGCTATAAATATGATTAATGTTGTTATAGACAAAAAGTTGTTATAGAGAGGTAAAATATAACTTAAAAAATCGGTTATGAGTAAAACTTGACTTTTAATTTATAGTGAATACTATTATATAAGGATGTTGTTATAGAGATGTCCGTCTGTAATTACCTATCAAGTACGAATAAAATAGTATAAAATTTCTTTACACTATCCACGTATAGAAGTTGAATTCCTTTTTGATTTAACTATTGTTAGAACTTCTGGGAGTAATTGCTTTTAAAATTGAATTTCTAACTTGTGAAGGAGAGGGTATCAAACTAAATCAAAGCTATTCGATTACTCATATTGAGGGACACCCTTCCTTCTTGTCCTACTGTATATCTGTCAGCACTGACATTATGAGCATGTCAACTGAACGTACTATGTGTTTAGTAGTATGTCAAAATGCTACGCAGTTCACTGAAACTCGTGTAAAACTTTGATGGGAGATCATTGACTGTCTCCCAGTTAACTAGACAGAAACTTTTAATGCAAATCATTTGGTTGGCTTAAATCTGGGTGCAGTTTCTTTGACTAGCAGATATATAACTATGTGCACCAATTTTGAATTGGATGTAGTTTTGCACTTGTTGTATAAAGAGTTTTATTAGGTAATACTTTCAAAACTAACCACAAGTAATTATCATTATTAAACATGAATCAATAACCTCCAGAATATGTATGTGACATGTTTCAACTTTCAACTAGTTAAACTAACACTAGATGTAGAAATTTACACTTATGTATAAAACTTTAATCTTTTGCCGAAATAGATAATGGAAAATAAAAAAAATAAATCTTTTGCCGAAATAGATAATGGAAAATATTATTTAAGACTACAAAAATATTTGCTCTCAAAACCACAAGCTATAAAGTTTTTTTTTTTTTTGGATCTGGGTAGGGTGGCCAACGGGCAAGTCGGATTGGATATGGACAGGTCAAAATGGATAATGTAAAAACAAATAAAATATCCGACCCGATCCATATTTAATATGGATAGAAAATGGGTTAACTCGTGGATAATATAGATATCCGTATTATTTATGGCTTCTTGAATATGATTACTTTTGGGAAGAATTCCTAGTCTACCAAACTTGAGGAACCTCCAATTTGAGTCTTTGCAAA